GATTGCTGTCACCCGAGACACTCGAACTTCACGGCTGTGACAATCTCCTCTCCCTAAACCCTAAACCCTAAACACTAAACCCAAAACCCTAAACCCTGAGCGCCAAAAGCCCAGGACAGCTGGGGGTGGGGGGGGGGTTCGGGCCCACCTTCAGCCCTCCCCCCTCCCAAAATTGGGGAACCCTGGTTGGAGCAAGTGCGAGGGTGCTCTTGAGGACTTTGGGGGTTGGGGGTTGGCGATTGTAGGGGTTTACGGGGAACCCTAAACCCCTAAACCCTAAGTGTTGTCCTATGCAGAGGTGCAGGCGGAGTGGCATTTTCTTCCCTGCAACACAATCAACCCTACATACAGGGAACTACAACTGCATTTACCCTTTCAATCCATGTAGAAGTATGCCCAAAACACACACTGTCATTAACCAGGCCAAACCTCACCCAGCAGACCGCCAGGAGCCTGGGTATTCAGACCCCCAGCAGGCCACACGAGCGGGCCGAGGACTCTGGGTATTCAGGTCCCTTTTAGGCCCACGGAAGCAAATGGCACTAACACAGCAAGGTCGGATCGCATCGGCCCCCCCCGCCACCGGCTCCCGATGATGTATCTTCAGAGCTTACGCCCTTAGGCTCACCATAGCCCAGAAACCCTAAAAAATAGGCCTTCGGGCCCCAAAACCTTAAAGTAGAAGAGCTTACACCCTTCTCAGGCTCAACGTAGCTCAAAAATCCTATATTACTTGGCCTTTCGGGCCCCAAAAACCTTAAAATCAGAGGCCTTGGGAGCTTGAGGAACAGGGTCTAGGGTTTAGGGTTTAGGGTTTAGGGTTTAGGGTTTGGGGTTTAGGGTTTAGGGTTCTCCTGCCGGCGGCTGAAGCTGCCATGCTCTCACTGTCTGTGAAGAACAGCGCGTCCTGGGAGTCGCCGATCGCCCTAAACCCTAAACCCTAAACCCTAAACCCCAAACCCCAAACCCTAAACCGGTTTAGGGACTCGGCCTGACGGAGGCACGCATCCCAACTAAAGACGTCGGATTCTCCCAGTTGAGGGGTTTGTAGGGTTTTCTTCGGGCTTAGGGTTGTAGGGTTTGTAGGGTTTGTAGGGTTTGTAGGGTTTGTAGGGTTTGTAGGGTTTGTAGGGTTTGTAGGGTTTAGGGTTAGATAGTTGCCACATAAAGTAGCAACAAATAGAACAGCCCACGATTGTAAGCCACTCACAATTCGACGGTGACCCTAAGCCCGAAAGTAGCACCCCACAAATGATGCCCCTCGATTTCATAAACCCTATAAGCCCCAGATCCTAAACCCTAAATCTCACAACCCAAAGCCCCACAGTGGGCAACGATTGTGGGTACGTTGGGATCTTAGTAAACTAGACCCAAGCGTAACCTAGGAACACAAGGGTGCCCTTTGTGCTTTCAAGGGTCTTATGAGGGAACCTAAACCCCCCCAAAAAAGGAATAAGGGCGTACTCCGGGTCCTAGCAACCCTAAACCCTAAACCCTAAACCCTAAACCCTAAACCCTAAACCCTAAACCCTAAACCCTCACAAGGTTCGCTTCACGCACAAAAAGGGAAGCCGGTCCTTCCTCTCGCGGCTACTTGCGGCGCATCTTTCGCACGGCTTGTGCCTCTGCTGAGGCTCAAGGGGCAGCGGTTCTGTTCTTGCCCAAACCCTAAACCCTGAACCCTGAACCCTGAACCCTAAACCCTAAACCCTAAACCCTAAACCCTAAACCCTAAACCCTAAACCTAAACCCTAAACCCTAGACCCTAAACCCGAAACCTAAAACCCCAAGACCTGAACCTTAAACCCTAGTCGGACCCAGGGTTGCCAGCGCTGATATTGCATATGGGGATCCTACTATTTGGGGTCTAGAATCTTGGTATGTTCCCTCCTATACTAAGTCCTTAATAGGGATCATAATACGGGATACTATATTCCCCATTAAGGACTGCTCGTATGAGGGGGAGCGTCCCAACTAGAATCTCCTATTATCCGCAACCCCCATAAGAACTGGCTTCAGGGGCCACTGGGTTAGGCAGTGTAGGGTTTGGGGGTCTAGGGCTCTAAGGTTTGGGTGTTTGTTTAGGGCTTTACGGTTTGGGGTTTTCAATTGGGTTGTTTGTGGTCTGGGGTCTGGGGCTTGGGGCTTAGAGTCTCAGAGGCTTTTAGAATGGTTGGGTCTATGGGGTGAAAGGCTAGGACGCGGACAAACGCATTGAAAGCCCAAAGCCCACCTCGGCACTAGTAACAGCAGGATAACAAAAAAGAATAAAGAACATCTTAATTACTGAATCAGAAGGAAAAACGACAAACCAGGCACTCAATGACAAAGGCAAATAGTGAAGAAAAAACAGGACCATAAACATAACCGTTAAACCATGCACACAAACGAGTTTACCTGTAAAAAAACAACTACAAGTATGAATACATACAACAATCGAACAAATACATGAATGAACAAAAAAAGAAAACATATACCCAATAAATATAATATATATATATACATATATATATCGTTGTATATATATATATATATATTTATTTATTTATTCATGCATGCAAACATGACAAGAAGAATGGCCAGTTCGCAACATCCGCTACAACAGAAATTACCAAGCCCCGGCCACCCTGCTAAGGCAGGCAAGGGTTTAGTTTAGCGTTCAGGGTTGAGGGTTGGGTATATTCCCTTGCACTGCTACATGAGGCGAAAGATTATACAATGTACCTACTCACTCATTCCCGATTATGCGATTCAAAAAGAGCAGGCTTAATCTGGTGGCAAGCAATAGCTGTAGGATGTATATACTTTCTTGAGGGTAGAGAGGGGGAAGTAAGAATGAGGGAGAGGAGGGAAAGAGGCTCGAGAGAAGATGAAAGAAAGACCGGAAAAAGAGAAGAGAGCGAGAGAGAGAGAGAGAGAGAGGGAGAGGAGAGACGGAAAAAGACAGACAGAGCTAAACAAAAAAGAGGCGAGCAAGAGAATAACACTTCAAGGAGAACCGGCACGTCAGATGGGTGTTGAATCGTCAAGGTCATGCCCCCAGCCTGACATGACAACAACATAGAGCCGAAGCACCCCAAATCTCAAGCTAAAGCACAGCGATGCAGGAGTTCGGGGTCCGAATTTAGTGCTTCGGGTCAAGAAAGATAAGGCTTCTAAAGTTCTTGAACGAATTCAAACGGCTCCAAAACCGCAACGATGCTGAATCCAGGTGGCTCCACTCGAAGTAGTCGTCTGCAGAACCAGCTTGCCTCACGCAAGAAGGACATTCTTAACCTATCAACTTGCAAGGGACCTTAGGGGTTATTTAGGGGTTATTTGGGGGCTAAATAGGTTTTTAGGGACTGTATAAGGTAAGGGAATAAGATTAAGGGTCCCCTTAGACCTTCCACCCCAAATCCTAAGCCCTAACTTCTCATCGCTTCGCGGCTTGGTTCAAGCTTCGGGTGGGCAAGTGTTCTTAAGGCTCAGGGGTTTAGGGTTTTTGGGTTTACTCGAGCTTCAGGGGTGTTTTCAAGGGGTAAACATCGTACCCCTAAGGTTGTACCCCTAAGAGGTTCCTTTGATATGCTCCTAACATGGCCCCTATGTTTCCTTGGAGGATCATTCAGCAAGGTCCCCAAACCCAAGGGCACCACTGCGGCACAACCGTAAGGGGTCCGAGGTAGAGTCTCTTGATGTTGAGGGGTAAACCCTAAACCCTAAACCCTAAGCCCTAAACCCTAAACCCTAAACCCTAAACCCCGGAAGTGCGCTCCGACAGCACTCCAAGTCACCATCACCGTCGATGTACCGGCGCGACTGCTCCTGTGACAGGGACTTTCATGGGAAGCCCAGACAGAGAACCCCAAGAATATTTAGGCATATAACAGGAATATACCTACCAGGGTCATGATATTCCTCTTTATGAAAAAAGGTATTTTGCGCGAGTTTTAAATCTCACCCCCCAGGCCCTAAACCCTGAACCCTAAACCCTGAACCCTAAACCCTGAACACCTAAACCCCTAAACCCTAAACCCCTAAACCCTAAACCTTACATCTTGCACACCGGAAGGTCCCGGTCGGTCTTGAGAACCAGCACCGCGCCCTCCCAGACGGCGGTGGCCTGCGGATGCAGGTTGGTTGGAGGGTTTAGGATTCACTTCCAGGTATTGAGGTTTGGCGCTTCGGGCTCTAAAGGGCTTCTAGGACTTGCAGGCTTGTAGGCCTTGGTATGGCTGAGGGTCTATATGGCTTCCTAAAACTCCCCCAAGCCCTAAACCACAAACCCCTAAACCCTAAACCCTGAAACCCTAAACCCCAAACCCTAAGCCCAAAACCCTAAACCCCAAACCCTGACACCCTAGACCCTAACTAAACCCTGAAGCAAAAGTCCCAAACCCTGAAATCCTAAACCCCTGAACCCTAAACCCCTAACCCTAAACCCAAGCTCTGACACCCTATCAATCCTGAGCCAGGTGGCCTTCATCAAGGTGTCGGTGGTTGGGTCCATGTAGTCGAACCTCGGCGCCAAGTCTCGGGCGCGCCAAGTGGTCTTAAACCCAACGAATCCTAAACCCCAAACCCTAAACCTGAACCCTAAACCCTAAACCCTAAGCCCTAAGCCCTAAACCCTAAACCTTATACACCCTTCATTCTAACCCCCCAAATCCCAAACCCTAAGAACCCTAAGAACCCTAACTTCCGGAACCCCCTTAGAACCCCAAGAGCCCGATAACTTCCCTAAACTTCCAGTAAAGACCTGAGAACCCTTTAAGAACCGGATACAGCAAATGTGTGTTTGGTTTAGTTGGGCTGCTGTGTACAGAAATCATGAACAAGAGATTGCGGCGCCTGAGAGGTGCCTCGGAGCATTCGGACGCTGCTCTTTTTTACCACCCTCGAGACAACTCAAAAAACTCCAGAAGATTCGCAAGGTAACCTCTGAAAAGGACAGTACATGTCTTGAACAGAAGCCCATCGCACTGTGGCGGAAGGCTCACAGAGTTCATCACGTTTACTTACACCGCCGCTCCCACAGCCTGACTTGGCGGGTCGTGAGACGTGTCATCGGACCGGTTGGGCGGCTTGCGCGTGCAGCAGCAGCCGCCGCAAAGTACTGCGATGGACAGAACGAGGTCGAAAAGGGCAAACCAAGAGCCTCCGAAGAAGCACATGTCGATGCTGGACAAGACCACATCGGGGATGTCTTCTACCCAGCGCAGGCACCGGCGCCTTGCATGTTGCCCTGCCGTAACTTTCAACAAGTCCTCCTTGGACAAGATGAAGGGCAGCGCGCTGCCCAGAATAGGCAGCTGAGCTGCTGCGAGTTGCCGCTGTTCACGATCGGCCGCGCGTGCGCTTGTGATAGAAAGCATAAGCCACAACCACCCATCCCACACAAGCAGCACCATCAAGAAAGTCACATCCATGTCAAAGCTGCCGATCCCAAATACAAGCACGACCCCAAAAAACACGCATTGGGGCCAGCAAACAGCCAAACAACCAAGACACCACGGTCGTGGCAGGTGCAACCAAGCGATGCCAATATTGGTGCAAAAGACTGATATCGCTCCTCCAACTCTGAGGCACTGGTTGATGGTATTGAGATGACTATCGACGGCACGGACTTCCACCTGCCAAATGAAGAGGGTTGAGGACACGAGGTCGGTAACCTCCACTAAGTGAGAGACAGAGCTGAATGCAGCATCAATCCCGACGAAGCTTTCCATTGCTGAGGATGTTCCAGCCAGCGGTCCTTGAGAATTGAAGAAGCTGTCGGACGGACAGATCTACATCCAACTAAGTGGAATCTGCTTGGTCTTTGCACAAAGGCCCTGCTACCCAGCTGAATGGCGAAAGTCAACTCGTGAAATGGCAGGCTAATGGTAGGCTGGTGGCAGTATCACCCAAAATGGGCAAGGGTTCTGCTAACTAAAACATCTCAGGAAACCCGAACCCCTAAACTGTAAACCCTCAACCCTGAACTATGTCCCCTAAACCCCAAACCCTGAAGCCTGTTTGCTCAAGGTTCGCAAGAGATCTCCGGTCAAGGAGCTCTGCGCCAGTCATCTGGATCGTGCAAACCTTTCGAGGGCTAGGGCTTCAACCCGCAGCTCTGAACCCCTTCAACCCGAAGCGCTGAACACTTCTGTCCTTAATTCCTGAAACCTTGAAGCCCCCAGCCATTTCGAGACAACGTGCCCCGGTATGTGACTGTTATTGTTGCTACTATTCTTCCCACTACTGCTACTCCTACTCCTACTCCCACCACCAGTACCACCACGAACACTACTACCACCAAATTTGAAAGTGTTTGTTCTCACTTTTCGCGATAGCTTTGTCCACGACTATGCCTGTGAATATGAGTTCGACGGGCTGGAGAAAGAAAGGGGCTGCTTGCCCGAAGAGCTATAAGACTTTAGGAAAGGGCTTAGGGTTTAGGATTTAGGGTTTAGGAGAGAGGGCTTAGGGTTTAGGATTAAGAGTTTAGGATTTAGGGTTTGGGGATGGCTCGGGTTTAGGGCTTTCGGCCCATGGCAAGCCTTTACGGGGGGTGTTTGGGCCTCTTGCGGCCCTCCAACTTCCAAAAAATATCCAGAGCCCTCAGGCACCACTGTAGTTCATTTTTTGCGTTTAGGGTTTAGGGTTTAGGGTTTAGGGTTTAAAATTCGGGTTTAGGGTTGAGGGGGAAAATCTGCGAAATGTGTCCCCCCCAGGCACTCGGCAAATCGAAAGGGCCTTTAGGGCTTTCCGACTGTGTAGGGGGTCTTAGAATTAAAAACCAACTGAAAGCCCGCCTTGTCTCCCATAGGTGACTTTCCAGTCAGATTCAGAGTGCTGCCCGACTGCGTGATGTGAAACTCCTCAGAATGTGCAGAGTGCCGCTCCTTCTTCGGCCCCCGTAGAGCCCGTAAAAGGTTGTTTGGCGCTAGGGTTAAACCCTAAACCCTAAACCCTGAACCCTAGACCCTAAACCCTAAACCCTAAACCCTAAAGCCTAAACCCTAAACCCTAAACCCTGACCATAAACCCTGAACCTTAAACCCTTCCAATTTAGGGTTTAGGGTGTGTAGGGCTCAGGATTTAGGGTTCGGGATTCCGTGGGTCTAGGGCTTTAGGCCCAAGTGCCCTGCAGACGTCTTGCTATCAGGGTTTAGGGTTAGGGCTTAGGGTTTAGGGTTGAACTCCCTACTTGGAGGTTCATGGTACTTATTAACCAATAATTACTGTGCTTATAACTGTTCTTATCACCAAATTAGGGCTATTAAGGGGCTTATAAGCGGGTGATAAGCACAGTAATACCGGCTAATATGTACCACCTCCAAGTAAGCCTAAACCCTAAACCCTAAACCCTAAACCCTAAACGGGTTTGCAGCACAGCACGCTGTATGCGGACTTTTGAAGTCAAAGCCTTCACGGCTGCTACCGTGTTTCGGACTCTGGCTACCCTAAACCCTAAACCCTAAACCCTGAACCCTGAACCCCAGGATCATAATTTAGGGAGAATCGCTTCGCCCGAGACTCCATCTTAGCTTGGAGAGGCATGCGGCTAAGTGGCCACCTTATCCACTCCGTAGCCCAGGCCATACCTGTGTAAGGGGGAAGCCGCAAACTTACTGCTTCTTGCACACTACCCTAAACCCTAAACCCTAAGCATCCCTAGTCTCAAAGGACACTCCACATCACGCCCCCAGAATAAGGAACCCAGAGACCCTGTCATATACACTCACGAAGAACAGTGCCAGAGGTTTAGGGTTTAGGGTTTAGGGTTTAGGTTTTAGGGTTTAGGGTTTAGGGTTGATTGCTCTATTTGGACCATGTGATCCAGAGCCCCTTTCGGGGGCGCAAAAAAAAACCTTAAACCCCAAACGCCGTAAACCCTAAAACCCTAAACCTAAAACCAACCCTAAACCCTAAAGGCCCCAAAGTCTGAGGTGAAGGGCTTGATGGCGTGGGTTCTCTAGCTTATGGTCCCTTTTGGGGACCTGTCGTGATGCAGCCCCTTAAGTCATTTCGTAATGTTATAAGTTTTAAGGTTTAGAGGTTTCGGGTTGAGGGTTCGTAAGAGGGGAGGGGGGAACACCGAAACTGGAACCCCGTCAAACGAAGCCCCCGCAACCACACCACCAGTGGCGAACAACGGGGCAGGGCTGAGGGACGCGTCCTGATGATGTGTAAGGATTTTTCCCAAAAAACTTTTTAACAAACTTTACACAAAGCTAAAAAATGTTTAAGCTTCAGAAGGCTTGTAGGATTCTTAGAGGCTGGTTGTGGGAGCCTCTAAGCGTTCCAGGTGGGTTCGGTTCGCCCCCTTCTGGCAACCGTCTTGCAGCAGATGGGCACCCTAAACCCTAAACCCTAAACCCCAGACTCCCAATCAATCCCGAAAACCTCCTCAAAGCCGGAACTAGCAAGCCAGGGACATCATCGTGCGCTTCATGTAGCCGACACCCAGGTCTTCCAGTACCTTGTCGATATCACCTTCGACGCTGTCCTGCCAGGGCTTTCGGATGGTCCTCAGAAAGCCCTCTGAAAAACAGCTTAGGGTTTAGGGTTTAGGGTTTAGAGTTTAGGGTAATCCTCTTAAACCCAATAAGGGGAAATATGACATATCCCAAGGGCCCTGCCGTGTACAGCGTCCTAGCCACTCCCCCTCCCATCCCCAGCATACCTTAAAATCATGTTCAGAGGGCCCTCTATTGTTGAACCCGGGTATAACCACCCTAAACCCTAAACCCTAAACCCTAAACCCTAAACCCTAAACCCTAAACCCCAAACCCTAAACCCTAAACCCTGCAGGCCTCAAAAACCCTGAAACGTGACCTTCGTTCATCTTGAGGTCCGCGCCATACATTTGTCTTCTACATGGTGGTCCTATGTCTTGAGCTCCTGTCTTCATAAGGTGCCTTGTATTTAGGGCACCCAACACAAAGAACCATCATCTGGAGAACAGCCCATATGGTGACATAAAGCTCTACTCCCGACTACTCCCCTAAACCCTACAAGCCCTAAACCCTAAACCTAAATTCTTTTTTTAAAATATAGCACGGTAAAACCTCAACCCTTCACCCTACGTACACCCCCTTGAACCCTAAACGTACATCCCCGAATGGCAAGGTGTATTGGGCTGCCCCTAAACCCTAACAAGCCACCAGACTGGTTGATCTAGACCCGGGAGCCTTTTTGGTTTTAAGGGGATGATAAGGGAACCCCAGCCCAAAAAACAAGGAAAAAAGGGCCCACTCCCGGTCCTAGTGACACTTGATGACAGCTTCACTTTCTTTGGGGGTGTCTTGGGGTTTTGGGTGCTTTGGATGGCTTTAGGGTCTTTAGGGTTTCAGTGAGGTTTGGTTGCTCTTGGGGCGTTTCGGGTTCTTGGGGTTTTTAAAGGTTTAGGGCTGTGGGGTTCTCAGGGATTTTGGGCACCAACTTCGAGAATTACAGCCCCTAGCTGACATGAGCCCTCACCCGTCCATGATCCACTCGCCGCTGAGGTCTGCCATGGCGCCCTAAACCCTAGCCCTAAACCCTAAACCCTAAACCCCAAACCCTACACTTGTGGCCGGGAGGCGGGGCAGATGGCAACAGCCGCGCGCAATAACATCAACGGTGCGACGCGAACCAAACAACAAGCAGAAACCTTTCGGGCCTACCTACTCGAGGGCTTTTAGGTTTTAAGAGGGGTTTTAATAGGGTTTTTAGGTTTTAATAGGGGTTTTTAGGTTTTAATAGGGGTTTTTAGGTTTTAATAAGGGGTTTTAGGGTTTGGGGGTTTGAGGGTTTAAGGGTTTAGGGTTTTAGGGCTTTTTGGGGGGGGCTTAGGGTTTAGGGGTTTTAGGGTTTTAGGGTTTTGGGGTTTTGGGGTTTTGGGTCTAGGGATCTTGGGCCCTGCCTGATATCTAGGGGGCCTGTTCAATTTCACTGGGACCTTCAGGCAGTTGATATTCTGTATAGGGGTTGTGATAAGGGGATCACTAACCTTAAGGGCCCATGCGCCGAAGCGCAGATTGGGAGGGTTTCGGGTTGAGGGTTCCGAAAAGCAAGTACCAAGTTATCGTGTCTGAACCCTAAACCCTGAACCCTGAACCCTGAACCCTAAACCACCCGCCTCTGCCGCAAGACAAGGGGAGACACCGGCAAGTTTAAGGTTTAGGGTTTAGGGTTTAGGGTTTAGGGTTTAGGGTGCAAGATAAGGACTGCGTGGACCAATGTCAATGCCATTCCGATGCCGCGCACTGAACACTTCCTTTGACCCGTGGAACCTTCAAAACCCCAAACCTCGAAACCCCTACATCCCCAAACCTTAAACTCTAAATCCTAAACCCCTAAACCCCAGACCCTAAACCCGATGTAGACTTTACGGCTTGACACCCGCCCTGACCTCTGGGGTTGCGTGCAGGAGTCTCCGTGTACTCCTTGAACACATGCTGTCCCTCGTCCGCAAGGAGCAACCCCTGAACCCTAATTAAACCCCTGTTTAGGTTTCGGGCTTGGGTTGGGGGATGTTCCCCCCTATGCTAACAGTCCTTTAAAAGGGATTATAGTGCGGGCTACCGATTAAGGCTTGCTAGTAGAAGGGGAACATCCCAAGGCTTAGGCTTTAACTCCCAGAGCAAAACATCCCCTGAATGCTTGGGGCGCGTGTGGGCTGCGCACATCCCGAGCTCACGAACTCGCCGTCTGCTGGAGAAGGCCATCCTGCGCGCATATGAAGTTTGGGGTTTCTTCGGTTTCTTGGGTGAGGGCCCGGGGTTTAGGTTTTACCCAAGTAAGTAAGCCCTGTTTCCCTTCCCCCAACCCCTGAGCCCTAAACCCCAAACCATGTGATATAAACCCTGAACCAAAATACCCCTAAACCCTAAACCCATCATACCCCAAAACCCTAAACCATAATACCCCTAAACCCTGAACCCATCATACCCCTAAACCCATAATTCCCCAAAACCCTAAAACCCCGAAACAGACGCAACAAAAAACTCAAAAAACGGAGCTCGCGATGCTGAGAACCCTCGGCCGAAGGTTTCAGGTTCACATTTTGGACGTACCCGAGGTCCCTGACTTTTTCGAGGTGGTTTAGGGTTTGAAGGTTTTAAGGGTTTAGGGTTTGGGGCTTGGGGTTTAGGGTTGGGGTTCAATGGGTTTCGGGTCTCGGGTTTGGGGTTGAAGGGTTCAGGGGCTAGATTTTCGGAAGTCTGGCTGTTTACAGCTCAAAAACTTTGGGCTGGAGCATGCGAGCGGCTTTGACGATGCTAAAGCACACCAAACCCCAAACGCACAACCAGGCCTTCAAGTTCAAAAATTGCATCCTAAACCCTAAGCCCCTCAACCCTAAGCCCTAAACCCTAAACACTAAATCCTAAGCCCCACACCCTAAGCCCTACGCCCCTAAACATTGATTGGCGACATCTCCACGCCTGAGCCCGGAAGTCTCCCCATAACCATTAGAACCATTTTGCCCCGAAGCGCCAGATTCACCCCAAATCAAAAGATTACCAAGAACAGCAATATCAATAAGAAATGATGGCAAAACAACTCCCTGAAAAAATAGTATGACAGTGAAACCCCAAGCCCTGAACCCTAAACCCTAAACCCTAAACCGCAGCTCTGAGCCCAACAAAACCCCTTTTCCGCAGCTCTCACGGCCGGCAGAAGGCTGGTGGCGACGGACCCGAGCAGCGCAGGACGGAGCAACCACGGATGGGATCCTATAGGCATCGCGGTTTCAGGGGATGAGAGGTTTCGGGTCGAGGGTTTACAGGTGTTAGGGTTTCTGGGTTTTAGGGTTTAGGGTTTGTTGTGGCTTCCGGTGCTGTGTCTCAGCGCTTGGAGGTTCCTGGGTACTTAGAGGTGGGGATTGTCTGCGCCTTTCTTCGAGATGGTCCTGTTCCCCACGGCTAACCGCAACCAGGATCTAGAACTACCCACGAGCACGGAAGCAAGAGGATTTGCGACTCATCTGATTAACTGGAACTCTATTTACCTACTAGTAGAAACAACCCTAAACCCTAAACCCTAAACCCTAAACCCGAAACCCCAACTGGTAGGTAGAACCCATAAAACTGTAGGTGAAGAGGGCCCCCTTGTTACAGGACAAAGAAAACCCCAAGGGACGGCTCCGCAGCAGCAGCCACAGGGCCGCATCCTCTGGGTACGACAAGTTGGAGGAGAGGGCTTAGTGGACTAGGGGTTTAGGGTTTAGGGTTTCGGGTTTGGGGTTTGGGGTTTAGGGTTTACCCTGATCCAAAATGCTGAAAGTTCCAAAACCAGACCAGTTCAATTGAAGTCGGAGACACGTATAGAAGCCCCTGACCCATCAAGCGGATTCGCAACTGCCAACATCACATGCCAGTCGTTCAGAATACGTGCTCCCAAACCCCCAAGAACTAAGCCCCAGACTCCACAGAAATGAGGTGGGATTTTCCAAAATTAGGGGTAGTTTTTTGGGGTCCTGACAAAAAAGGGAATCCTACGATTTGGGGGTCTATTGTAGGGGTCCCTTGTGTTCGTAAACTCCCAGGTAGGTTCCCTTTTCGGTAAGGAACCCGGCCTGCTCACTACGAAGGGCAATGGGGGTTTAGGGTTTACCCTTTGGCTCAAGATAGCCCAAAACCTTTCAGAACAAGGCCTGTGGGCCTAAATACCTTGGAGCCTTGCGGTTAGGGTTTAGGGTTTAGGGATTTAGGGTTCAAGGGTTAAGGCTTTAGGGCTTAAGGGCCCCGAATTCCTTAAATAAAGCCCTTTTTCGACTCGACCCAGGAGTAAGCTGGGACATGAAAAGGGTATCCCTTGTTTCAGTTTGAAACGGGCTAAAAAGGGAGGCCCTACTCTGGGTCCTTGAAAACTTCGAAACCGTAAATCCGAAATTCTCTCACACACCCCTCAAACCCCAAGACCTGAACCCTAAACCCTAAACCCTAAACCCTAAACCCTAAACCCTAAATCCTAAACCCGGGTTGAACCTTCAATCTTCGGTCCTCTGTGGTTTGCTCGGGTCGGCGCCGTTGCTGCTGTTTCTGTAGCTGCTGGGCATCCTTCCGGCGGAATTTCGGCTAAACCCGAAAGCCCAAATCAACCTCCTTTCTATAGGGTTTAGGGTTTAGGGTTTCGGTTTCTAGGCCCGGAACCCCTAAACCCTATACATCAAACTGATAACCCTACCACGCGATGAGTTGCGGGCCTCCCTCCCTCCGTCCCTCCCTCCCTCCCTCCCTCCCTCCCTCCTCTCTCTCTGTCAATGTCTCTATCTCTGTCTCTGTCTCTGTCTCTTGCTTTCTTGCTTTCTTGCTTTCTTGCTTTCTTTCTTTTGTATTTCTTTGTTTCTTTCTTTCCGTCTTTCTTTCTTGGGGCATGGGGGCGAGCCCCGGTCTCTCTCTCTCTCTCTCTCTCTCTCTCGCGCCCTGTCTCTTACCACCTGGACCACTCACCCGAAAGCCGCAAACCCTTAGTATTCAGGAGTTCGTAGTCCGGCCGCGCCTCGAAACCGTGAAGGCTTCTTAGGGTTTAGGGTGTAGGGCTTAGGCTTCCCCAAGCCCCTCCGGCTGCTTTGGGTTCAGGTTTGGGGTTGGGCGTCGCGAAACCCGAAAACCCGGGTTTGGGGCTTCGGGGCGTTTAGGGTTTAGGATTTATAAAGGCTTATGAAGCCAACCAAAACGAACACATACACCTCTGAGCACTGAACCCTGCCCTAAACCCTAAACCCTAAACCTTGAACCCTAGTTGGGTGGACGGGTGGAGGCTTTGGGGGCTTGTAGGGGCGAGCATGAGCCAGCAACCCGCCTCCATGCCCGCCACAATCTCGCGTATTTCGACTCGGCGGGGGCGCAGGGTGAGTTTTCTCAGGCTTGTATCGGGTTTAGGGCTTAGGGCTTTACTTGGGTTTTATGCCGGGTTGTATAAAGAGTGGAGATAGGGTCGCCTGTGGGATTTGTAGGGCTTGTATAGAGCGACAATAGGGCTTCTGTAGCTCGTTTGGTTTTGGCTACGAGCATCGAGTTTATAGGGTTTAGGGAAGATGGGCACTTGACAATTCAGAGCACATGCAAGTTTGGGCGTCGGTTCTGTTAGGTGTTGGGTTTAGGGCTTAGGGATTAGGGCTTAGGGTTTAAGGTTCCTGTACTACTATACTTCCTATTGAGGTATATGAACCAAAAACCCTTCTAGGGTTCATTTAGTCCCCAAGGAACTACGCTTGAGGGTTGGTGCATGTAGGGTTCAGGGTTTGAGTTGTAGGCGCCGGGGCTTTAGGGTTTCACAGGTTCTGCACTTCTTCCCAGACCACTGGGAGGATGCAAAAAAGTAGAACCCCCAAAGAGTACCCTTCTATTCGTAAACCCTAAACCCTAAACCCTAAACCCTACACCCAAAACCCAAAACCCTAAACCCCCCCCCCCCCCCCCCCCCCTAAACCCCTAAACCCAAAACCTCAAAGGATCTCATTTTCGGACCCTCCCAGAAGTCGACGTTCTTGACATGGTGCGAGTGTGCCAGGCATGCTCAGCGGGCA